GCGAGTACGCCACCTAGCGCTGCTGTCCTTTTCAGATCAGACTTCAATCTAAAGGTAATACCGTAGTAATAATGATATTTATAGCCAACAAACAACAGTATTAATTGTTAGCATTATCAGTGCTATCATGGTAATTAGTTGTTGTGATTTTTGCTTTTGTGTTGTTATCATGTTTTTTGTTGCCATTACTGCATTACTATTCTTGCTGATATTCGGGGAGGCAAGAACGGCAACACGAAGAAAACTCTGTTCACGTTCGCTGAAGGGTTTTGAATGTGCGGGTTAGGGCTTCGTCTGTGGCTTTGATGCTACCTATAGTCTCCACTGTAGTTCCTTTTTGGGGTTACCTTTTAGGATCCTTAATATAGAATTGGTTAAACCCAAAAAAGGAACTACAATGGAGACTATAGGTATATTCACTCTCAGAAGCTCAAGGACGAAGATAAGCACCTCGCCTCAGGACCTTCAAAATCTCTGCCTTAAATTCTTTTAAAAACAGCTCTGAATTTCGCTAAAGCCTGAATGCTCCCTGGAGAAGTTCACCAGTAGACCCGAATGGCCTTAACTTAAGGAACAGATTTTTTAAGCAATGATCCGAAACCCCAAAGAAACCCGAAGATCCTCAAGCTCCAAAACACGAAACCTTAAATAGGGTCTGTGTTTCTCGCCCGAAGGCGCTCTCACGAGATCCTAATTCCCTCAGTGCCCTTGGCTGGCTGGGACGTCGCCTTTGTGGCCGACCCCGCCCCTTGCATGCCTTAGAACAGTTGGGTGTGCAGGGTGTACACGGGTTTAATGGACTGCAGGGGTGTTGTTTAGGGTTTAAAAGTTTGGGGTGTATACAACATGCCGCACGGACCATCCAGAAGCACCGTGATTCTGATGGATGAAGCAACTGCACTTCAGAGGCTCCAGGATTGACATTCACCGAGAACTGTGCTCTCATGATAGTTTTTCTTCAAACGGGTAGGCTCCACTAGCTTATGTGTAGCTGGTGTTGTTCGGCATTGTTCGGCTCTGTTCTAGAGCTTCAAAGAAAGTATCGTTGGATTCCTTGGAGTTGTAGGTTAGGGCGTTCCTACCCCGAAGGCGAATCCTCAAATCCCCAAACCCGACACCATCATCCCTTGAACACACGGCTCCAAACCCCGTAAGCCTTCCTGCAACCCTGGAAAAGCTTTTGAAGCTTTGGCACAGAATCTTTGGAGCACCATGCAAGGATAGCTAAGAGCCACTAGCATCCCCTTTAAAGGGACCTAGAGCCTAGAGCCTAAATCTAGACCCTTAATACCGGGGCCTTACTAGTTAGAATAGGGTTTGGGGGTATGTTATATTATCATTGTAATAAGGAGCCCCCGAAACCCTATTCTATTTATTAAGGCCCTTACAGCAACCCTACACCCTGAGCCGTCTGAGCCTCATGTCGGTTCCCTTGAGACTCGTGTTGTTGCTTAGGAGCCTGTGGGTTTAGGGTTTAGGGACCCTGTCATGGAGACTACTTAGGCCTCTTTGGTTCTTACGGCCTCAAAAGGGATCTTATTTCCGAGGACGATTAAGGGCCAGCTAGGAGATTGTTCATCGTCTTGAAAGGAAGCTTGTGCAGCCTCATTTATGGGGTGAGCTCTTGACATCGGCAGTGTCAAAGGCAAAGGGCCCCATTGCAGTTTCAAAAACAGCTTCATCAGACCCCAAAGCCTAAATCCAACTTTGAAGACAAGGGCCCTAAACCTAGAGCCCTGAACCCTAAACCCTAGAAGCCCCAAACCCTAAGGGCCCTAAACCTAGAGCCCTGAAAGCCCTAAACCCTAGAAGCCCTATAGACCCTAAACCCTCAGGAGAACCCAACTGCGCCGGCTTCCTTGGCACCAGTCTCAGCCAGCGTGAGATTGCAGAGTTTTGGGGTCAAGGATCCCCTAGTCCATAGTAGCCCTGAACTAAGGGGATTGGGGCTTAGGGTTTAGGGCTTAAAGAGGGTTTAGGGTCTAGGGATACCTTAAAAAGCTGTAGTAGGATCCCGAATATGACTTAAGGTATATTCCTCAATTAATGGACTTTGGAAGGTCTGCGGAGTCAAGGAGTAAGGATTAGTAAAGGGCTTTGTCATCAGCACGGGGTTTTCTTTACAATGAAGACTACAACGGTTACTAAAAGGGCTCAGTCTAAGGACAGTCATAGTTAGAATGTGGATTTGCGGCATATGATGTGCTATCCAGTAAAAGTATCATCGGGACTGTATGGAACAGAATTGGCAATTGCTGATGCTCCTACACTTACTATACCTTAGCGCACGTTCGGGTTCCAAACATATTCTCAGGAGCCCATGTTAGGGTTAGAGGTTTAGGGTTTGGGGTTCGCCTTAATTCAAGGGTGTTGGAGTCTCTGTAGCCTTCGTGCCTTGGGGTTGATAGTGATGCTGCTGCGAAAATCCTAAGCCGTGAGCCCTTACAGCCCTAAACCCACCTACTGCATTGTATACTCAGCCGTGCTTCTTGGGCTGTGTTCTTGCCCAGGCTCCTGCTCCCAAAGTCCAAAGCCCCATCTTTGTTCAAGGAAACTACAGGTGGGGAGTTTAGGGTATATAGGGCTTCTAGAAGGCTTCTAGAAGGTATATAGACCTTCTATAAAGCTCCTATAACGGTAACTACCCACCTGAAAATGTCCTAGACTTTGTCTTCAAGGAAACCCAAAGACCTTTCGCCTTTGTGGGTGGGCGGGTGGGGATGATCAGGGTTTAAGGCTGAGGTTAAAACATGCCTGTAGCCGGAAAGACCTACCTCTTTTAGGGTTTCTTATTATGGTTTATATATATATATGTATATATATATATGCATATAGTTCTTTAACAACGTAGGTCTTTCGGGCCACAGGCGTCACTCAGGCCGCACTCAAGAGGGCTTGGATTCGTAAGTGCGAGCTGCGAGCCGATGCCAAAAATCGAAGGGCCCCGAGCTTCTTCTCAAGCAAAGAGAGGAGCTTTTTAAGAAAAATGGAAGCAAGAGCCCTGAAACCTAATCCTGAACAAGAACCCCAAAACCCTAAACCCTAAGCCTTCAAGCTTCAACCTTTTAAAACCGCCCAAGTCTCCAAACCCAAAGCCTGAACCCGAAGGCAAAGCCAGGTTGTTCGCGTTGGGTTTGCGGGCCCCCCAGCCCCTATAGGGTTTGGGGGGGTTTAGGGCTTAGGGGGTTTAGGGTTTAGGGTTTATTTGTAGGGTTAGAAGTATAGGGTAGCTATAGTTACTATAGCTCGAACTTATATATAACGCACGCTATCAAGGACTTATCACTCTAAAACCCCTACAAACCCAGCTTATAACTACCCATGAGCCTCCGAGTAATATCCCCCCCCGCCCCTCTCTTGTGAGGTGTTGCTGGAAGCCAACCTTTCCTGCAACTTCTTCAGGGGAACTGTGGACTGGAAGGATGCGAGCCTCCTTAACCTTGAGCCCTGCGTTGAAGGGGGTCCTTTAGGGCTTCTTTAGGGGTTTATGTTGAGTGGTTTAGGGTCCAGGGTTTAGGAGGTTTAGGGTTTAGGGCGTTTAGGGTTTAGGGTATGGGGTGTAGGAGGATTAGGGCTTAGGGGGTTTGGGTTTGGGGGATTCAGGGTTCTGTAGGGTTTTGTCCTGACCGATTAGTTAGTATTTCTGCTTTGGGGTCAAAAGTCCCCCAAGGGTCCATGTACCCAAATAGCATATATTTTGGCCTTAAAGTAGTCCCTCCATAGGTACTTTGGGGCAAAAGTATATACTATTTGGGTACATGGACTCTTGGGGGTCTATAACTATAAGTTACTTACATTGGGCTACTGGAGTCTTTAGCTTGTTCTCTGCAGCGTTTCATTAATCAGTGTCCTGGGAGGGTTTTTGCAGGTCTTTTTAAAGGGTTTGGGGTTTAGGGTTACTGGGTTTCAGTGGGCTTTATGGTGTGTTATAGCGTCCAGGGCCACAGAAAGCGCGCTTTCATTTGGCACGCCTCAAGCCCTAAACCCTATAATAGCCCGATAAACAAAGAGGCTCCCCCTGCATGGCTTGTGTTTCAGGGTTTAGGAAGCAGGGTTTAGTTTATGAGTTTATGCCAGACGTGCTGATTTTCTTTGGAGGACTGTTAGGAAGGCTTGCGTCAGAATCACGGAGTTGGAAGTCAACAGTGTTGGGAAGGTTCTGAAGCTTTATTTATACTCTTGATCCCTAAAGCTTTAAATCTTGAACCCCGAACCCCTGGACATGTGTCTGATAGTTAACCCAACACCCAAATTCCTATAATATACATATATATATATATATACATATACACACATATATATATAATATTATATAAATATATGTGCGGTCTTTGCACGACTCCCTAAGATTGGTGGCGTCGAGGCTTGGCATTTCTTAGCCCAACAATTCTGCGTCTTAGTGGCAGTGTCTATCCCTAACCTCCCAGGTACCTACTATATAGGGCCCTAGGGGCTCTAGTACCCTATATGGTAGGTACCTGGGGGGTTAGGGTATGAACAGGACACTTCACAGTCGATTTCGACTTAAGGGATCAGGGCTAAGGTTTCATGCTCAGGAAGGAGTCCATACAAATGCATAAAGACTCTGTCCCTATCCCAAAGCGAGTCAAGCCGAGGATTAGTGTTGCTACCCTAGGCCTCGAACGTAAGCCCCTGATTGTCGCTGTTGTTTTCCTTCTCGGCCCTTACAGCCAAGCCGAGNNGCCGAGTGTTTAGCCCGAGTACTACCGGATCTGCGATTGGGAGACCCTGGGAAAAAAAAAGCCCCTGATTAACAACCTTTTGTCATTTGTACAGGGATCTAATTGGGATTCCAATAGTGAGGCCTTGAAAGAGGATCTCTGTTGTCTGAGGCCATCTGGGGCCGCGAGGTCAGAATTCATGAGTGCTGGAAGACTTGATTCAGCAGATCCGAGCCTAGTCCCTGAAACCTGCACCTGCTATCCCAAGAAGTCGCCTTGTCTGCAACTCGACATGTGGCTCGAGCGCCATACCGAACCATGCGTGCCCTCAAGGGCACTGTAGGCCTAGTATCCTGGATTGCTCTCGTGGTTACTTCCTCCAGATCTGCAGATTTCTGTGGCGAGTCTGGTGAGTCTTCCTTGCTGCAACTCTCACCAAAGCAGGCATGCACACCGATCGCATACCTGAAAACGCACAAGACTGGAAGCTCCACTATGCAGAGCATCCTCCTGCGCTTGGCCGTTCGACGTCGCATGGAGATATTCTGGCCTGACTGCTCCGGTGATTTCAATTATCCCAGTCACTTCCCCGGTCCCATGGCAGAGAAAGTTCCAGCGAATCACCAGTTCGACATGATCTTGCACCATGCTGTCTTGAACGTCTCAGCCTTTCGATCCTACCTGAAACCCTCTGCCTTCTTTGTGACGGTGCTCCGAGAGCCTGTGAGCCAGATGACCAGCGTTTTCAACTGGTACCGGAGATTCTACAACTGGGCCTCGCTGGATGAGTTCCTGGGCTCCTGATTTACTCTAAAGTAGACAAGAATAATAAATCTAAAGTAGATGCTGACAGTTGCCACAGAAGTCAACATAGGACAGCATGTTGGTGTATGTCCTTCTTGTGGTATCTCAGAGTAGGTTTCTGAGCATGAACCTTCAGGTTCATCGACTATCTCGCAACGAGTCCTGAGGAGCAGCAGAGGCCCCGGCGCATAGGTCGCCACCTGGGGATCGCCCGTAACTTCCAGGCCCGGGACTTGGGCTTCTACGAATCTCGGCTCTTGTTAAGGGATTTATTTTAAGTTACCATAATAGGGATCTATAGTAATTCATATGGTTTCCTTATTACGGTAGCTTAAATTAACAAGAACCCAGGAATCCGGGGGTCGGGCCAACTCCACTGACGCAGAGGTGGCTTCCTGGATCAAGTCCCTGTCTGATGTTTTTTCCTATCCGTCGACGGGGCTCGTGGTGATCAAGGAGCGCTACGATGAGGGCTTGATCTTGTTACAGCAGGCACTCAGAGTAGACCTTGAAGATGTTTCCTACATGGCCATGCGTGTGCAAGATGCAAGCAGCACCAAGTACGAAGAGCCCACAGCTCGTCAGTCCAGGCGAATTCGGGATTTGGCCAACATCGACGCACAAGTTTATGATCACTTCAGGCAAACTTTCGAGGCACTTTGGGAGGACAGAAGGGGCTCCGCCAAGCTAGACGATAGCATCGGAGAGCTGCGGCAGGTCAATGATAACCTTACGACGTCCTGCAGAGAAAGCAATGGCTCCCATTGCGAGCTTTTCGTCGAAGACCTCCCTGAGCTCAGAAACATGGTGAGGCAGAAGCTTGGATTGGAAACATGTGCGCGACCAGGCAAGGTTCATGCGCAGGACCACGAGTACATGCTGTCAGCGCTTTGAGGTGACCCTGCGAAGGTCCTGCCCACCAGAAGCCCGGCTGGCTTTGTAAATCTATTGGTCGGAAAACTCATGGGACATCATGGTGCACAGTATCCCCTTTATGGTTTCTGATTATAACTATAGTATATCCACCCCGCCCCAAAACCCGAGTCTAACTATCGAGGCCCCGACACTGCCGGTGTAGGCTTTGGGGGTTTAGGCAGTAGGGTCAACCCCCACACCTCGTACGCTTGCTCCCCCTTCCCGTCTCCTGGAGCTCTTTTAGCAGGATTTTTGAATAGTTTAGGGCTTTGGGTTTTGGGCCGACAAGAAGTTACACTATACGGCACATTCCAATGATTCAGGCTGACTAATGCACCGGAATCAGTTGCGTTTTGCGTGATGGCTGGTGAATGTGGCGTTGATAGGTTTTCTGACACTTCTTCGGGCCTCTCGGAGGTCTACAATTTTAAGACACCTGTGCACCATCAGCTGCCCTTCGGGTCCTACGCGCCGACGATTTAGGAGATCTTTTTAGGGTTTGTGCAACTATCCCCCATAGGGTTTAGGGTTTAGGGAGGATTTAGGAACTCCTTTTAGGGTTTGTCAGAGGTACGTAGGATCATTTGGCTATGGATCCAGTTTAAGACTGCGGTCCCGCCAGAGATTTGTATCTCGCCTCGCGGGCGCCGCGGCAAAAGGGGAGTCTCCCTCCTCCAACGAGGCTTCAGTGATCATGGTAGGGTGGTTTAGGGTTCTAGGGTTCTAGGTTTTTGGGTTCTAGGGTTTTTAGGGTTCTCGGGCTCCAGGCTTTGAATTTAAGGTTTAGGGTTTAGGGTTTAGTGGCCAAGGTCTGGACAGCGGGATGAACGACGGCAGGTTTTCTTCCTATTCAATTATTCACAATAGGCTAGATGCTTACTGAGATTTCTGTTTGATTACTGTTGCCATGTTTGCGGTTGATATTAAATGTTGTCAGTTATTATTCCGACACTCAGTACCAGTAGCAACGTGGCCGTCATTCCCGGTGTTGTAGTAAGTAGTGCTATTGCTGCTCACTGCTGTGGTTGCAGGCGTTGTCCTTCTTGACCAAACCCTGAACCCTGAGCCCAAACTTGACCCTAAACCCTGCCGCAATCCTCGGGCTTCGCTCGCTTGCCATCATCAACCACGACAGGGTCACCAAGAGCAGTTGCTTACAACGAAATACCGAGACTGGTGCAGTCTAGACGAACACGCAAGCCTAAACCATAAACCGCCCTAAATCCCTAAACCTCCAAACATTAGCAAATCCCAGGAAGCTCCAATCAGTGGAGAGTGTGGTTGCGGGGAGTGTTCTTTGTAAAGCCCGCTTAAGAATCCCTTCAAGGAAGCCTTAAAAAGGATCCCTTACATCAACCCTTAAAGTAGGATTCGATAGGCTTGTATAGGGTTTTATAGGGCGTCTTCAGGGAATCCGACAGTTCGATTTTGGTGACCTGAAATCATTGTTTGAACTTTTCGGTTCCGAGTTTGAAGTGCGTTTCTGGTTTCGGCAGTTTGGAGTTTTAGGGCTTACAGTTCTCGACAGAAAGAACATATTGGGAAACGCAGCGCCCCAGAAAAGTGATGCTTGGCTGCCTCTGTCGGGTGGCCAGGAGTATGGTGAGCTCCTGGACGAGCACTTCGCGGCTCTGGATGCCCATTTCTTCGGCTGAGAAGAGGGCGGCAGGTCAAACACGACTGCCTCACGGGGCTTGAGGGGCTTCTAAGATAGGGGCCATACCATAGTACAGACATGATAAGCAAACCTGAGGAGGAGGAGGAGGAGTAGTATGTAGTAGTAGCAGTAGTAGCAGTAGTAGACGTAGTGGTAGTGACAGTGGTAGTGGTAGTGGTAGTGGTAGTGGCAGTGGCAGTGGCAGTGGTAGTGGTAGTGGTAGTGGCAGTGGCAGTGGTAGTGGTAGTGGTAGTGGTAGTGGTCGTCGTCGTCGTCGTCGTCGTCGTCGTAGTCGTAGTAGTCGTAGTAGTAGTAGTAGTAGTAGTAGTAGTAGTAGTAATTGTTTGGGCTTCTTTAAGAGTCATTCAAGCCCTGTGTTCGCACTTTAGGGCAGCGATGTGGGGCTCCGTGAATGTCATGCAGGGTCGCTCGCCTAATTCGGTCCAGCCAAGTCAGGGGATTCCCGTACCGTCCTGCTTCATTGCATTTGAAAATGTCCCTTGAACCTAAACCCTAAAGACTTCAGTCGCTGAACTACTACACTTTAAACTTTTTGGGATAATATAGTATGATCCCTTCTAGAACTGAAAGTATACGGCTTTTTTTATGCTTGTGAAGTCAGCAACTAAGAACAGATAGAAACCGCGAGGTCGGACGTCAATGTTCGGACTCGAAAAGCTGATCACAAAACTAGGTGGGCTAAGGAAGCCGGTTTAGGGTTCAGGGTTTAGGGTTAGGCTGTTTAGGGTTTAGGGTTAGGCTGCTTAGGGTTTAGGGTTTAGGGCTAAGGAAACCGAGTAATCTGTCTCAGTTGGAAGCTATCGTCGAAATCCTGTGATTAGACCTTAAACCCTAAACCCTAAGCCCTACAAACCCTATAAACCCTAAACCCTGTAAGCCCTATATCCTAAAAACCCTAAGCCCTAAACCCTATAACCCCCAAGAGCCCTAAAAACCTTAAGAACCCTAAACACCCTAAAAACCCTAAGCCCTGAACCAGTTTCAACCCTCAAGCCTTGCCAGAGCTCCCTTTTGAAGACGTCTTGGGACGTGATGGCGTGAAGCCATCGGCGCCACAGGGCTTTGGGGACAAAGCCCTACAAGTCCTAGGTTTAGGGTTTAGGGTTTAGGGCTTAGGGTCTACGGTTTAGGGTTTAGGGTTCAGGGCTTTGGGCTTCGGGTCTACGGTTTAGGGTTCAGGGTTTAGGGATTAGGGTTTAGGGTTTAGGGATTAGGTTTAGGGTTCAGGGTTCAGGGCTTTGGGCTTCGGGTCTACGGCTTAGGGTTTAGGGTTTAAAGCGTTCCTAGCAACTGCCGCCTTTAGCCCTCTTGGAGCTCTCATAGAACCCGCCTTAATCCCGAAACCCTAAACGCTAAAGCTTGCACCCTGAACCTGAAACTTGGTAGACCCTACCTGGACCCTGAAGAACCTACTTCTTTAGGCTTCCTTATTATGATTTCCTTATATAAGTCCTCAAAAAGGTAGCTTAATTTGGGGTTAAGGTAGGTAATAAAAAAGCCTAGCATAAACCCCTGTAGAGATTCAGCTCAGAGGTGCCGAGTCCCAGCTCCTAGGCGTCGCTCCCCCGTCGCACAGTTCCCCCAACTCGGAAGCGAAATCACAGAAGGTTTGAGGGTTTAGGGTTTTAGGGTTCAGGGTCTAGGGTTTGTAAGGGCATTTAGGGTTTCCGGTCAAAGAACCACCCTCACGAAGTCAAGCTTAGATCTGTTGGGTTTAGGGCTTATAGGGCTTGGAAGAACTTTTGTGGCGCACTTACCCAGGGTCGATAAGGGATCCAGCTTTTAGGCCGGTATCATGAAGGTATGGCATTTCGTTAAGTACGGAGTAGCTACGTTTCTCTGCCGAGACAGTCGGATGTGCTAATGCAAAGGCCTGAAACATGAATTAGTATCAGGGATCTAGGATTTGGGGTTTAGCATTTTGCCGACGGCTACAACATCCCGATGATTCTGGTTATCCAGGCCCCTATGGTAGAACCGTTGCCTGGAGGAATCCCTTAACCTTACAAGACCTAAAGGAATCCTTAAAGGCACCCTGTTCGAATTACTGTGGTTGGGGTGTTCTGGCCTAATGTCGCAGATCCGAGTTGGGGATGTGAGTGCTTCCCTGTCCGCTTGGTGTCAAACAGGATTACCTGGACCCTGAAGAACCTACCTTTTTCGGGTTCCTTATTATGATTTCTGTATATGAGTGCTTAAAAAGTTAGGTCATTTGGGGATAAGGTATAACTTACAACACTAACACTGAACCCTACCTCAACCTAACAGAACCTTCGTTTTGTCGCAGAGTCCCGGTCAGACATTCCCTACGAGGGCTTAGACTAGGACCTTACGAAAAAAAAGGTAGGTTATGCTGGTGCAAGGTAAACTCTACAGATTTAGGGACAGCGTGTCGGGATTCAGAGAGGGTCGTCCTGTGGCCTGCGTGTGTGAACAGGCATAGCTTTTCTGTTCTTTGCGTGGTTGTCTAGTGGCCCATGGCAACACACTCTCTCCACTTTAGGGTCGGTCCCTACAGACCCTAAACCCAAACCCTAACCCAACCCATGAGCCTGTTGAACCCTAAACCCCGGTGCCTTAAAGCATGTGAGGTTTACGTGAAGAATCAGGGGACAGTAGGTAGGGTGACGGTGACAATGAGGCTAACTACACGTGGGTAGTTCTCTAAACTAGGGTCCCCTTTTAGGTCCCCTACATAATACGGCACCCTTACAAAAAAAGGACCCAAAAAGGAACTCTAATTTAGAAAACTGCCACATAAGCTTAAGTTTTGCCCTGACTAGGGTACTTAAAACTGCACTTACCACGTCACCCGATCCTTTAAGGAGGGTTTTTAGGGTTGATTGTCAGGGTTTGAGGGTTCAGGGTTCTCGGGTTCAGGGTGGGTTTAGGGTTTGGGGTTTTGGGTTCCGGGGTTTAGGGGCTTAGGGTTCTGGGGCCTTAGGCAAGATGATTATGCAGCCATAGGATACGGCCACCGCCCGTTTGTAGCTGTCACCATACTATACATGTGTGTGGATGTGAGCTTCTCGGGTAAGGTATAGTCCTCCATCAACCCAGAACCCCCTTGAGATTCCTTTGCCTGGAGGCCGTAATTTTGGACCCTATGCTAAGCTGCTCAGAGGTAACTCTGTGTGAAACCATACAGGGGATCTGTTTTGAAGATCCCTCGATGGGGGGTTGGGTAAGCGGTATTGGCCATTGGCCTTTCTGGGTGACGGAGCAATCGCCTGCCACAGAAGATTCTGCGCATTCAACTGACAGCCTCTTTCTGCCCAAGAAGACGTTTAATCCTATACCC